TCCTTGGGTTATGGTTTATTTATTTATTTATTTATTTATAATTTGAGCACACATACAGAGGTACAAAAAAATACAGATAAGAGCAGCATGCCAAAGCCACTTATACTATGCATAGCATTACGGGCTGGCTTAAAATTAACTTAAGATTAACTAAGCAATGATGAAATCAGTGAAAAACATTAATGTAAACAGATTACTATAAAGCACAAGTGAGTATTACAAAGACAGGTCATATGGTTGCATGCATTGTTGTAAATTCAGTAGAATGGTTAGGTAATATTTGTCAGGAAACAGGACTAGTGTTTCCTGACGCCAGTCTTAGTTATATGAGCCGCCGTTGGAGCTTTTGGTCATCTGACCGAAGCCTTCCGCTAGCTTATTGGTCCACCCGTTTAAAAATTATGGTCATAGTTATAATCCCTTTTCTTGGGTTATCCTGAGTAATTTACACATATGCTGCTATGTATGATCATTAATTTAAGTGCATTTGTATACCTGTCAGTAAATAAACTAATTATAGTAACCACTTCAAGGGAGGTGCCTTGATGCCAGTGAGGGACTCTTGATCCAAGGAACCGGAACTTCCCACCTCCAGGACGGGTATCCTAGAATCCCTTCACAAAATATTACCTGCCTTTTCATGATTACACCATCATGCAATAATAAAAAATACAATACTTCATCGCTAATTTTTAAATATTTTCATCCTTTGCTTTTGGTGACTGAAGAATGAACATTTACGAAATAACGGTAATAAGTCAGTGTCTGAATTTGTTTGGGTTATCTTAGGTAATTTACACTATGTAGGATAACTGAACCTATATGTGCCTGTACCTATGTAAACCTACTTGCTATATAAAGGTTGAAGAGGATAGTGGAGCTGGTTTGATCTACCTGCCTTTCTATCTGGACGTTCCACATGCCTTTCTGTCTGGATGTTCCACATGCCTTTCTGTCTGGATGTTCCACATGCCTTTCTGTCTGGATGTTCCACATGCCTTTCTGTCTGGATGTTCCACATGCCTTTCTGTCTGGATGTTCCACATGCCTTTCTATCTGGACGTTCCACATGCCTTTCTATCCGGACGTTCCACATGCCTTTCTATCCGGACGTTCCACATGCCTTTCTATCTGGACTTTCCACATGCCTTTCTATTAGGACGTTCCACATGCCTTTCTATCTGGATGTTCCACATGCCTTTCTATCTGGACGTTCCACATGCCTTTCTGTCTGGATGTTCCACATGCCTTTCTATCTGGACGTTCCACATGCCTTTCTATCTGGACGTTCCACATGCCTTTCTATCTGGACGTTCCACATGCCTTTCTATCTGGACGTTCCACATGCCTTTCTATCTGGACGTTCCACATGCCTTTCTATCTGGATGTTCCACATGCCTTTCTATCCGGACGTTCCACATGCCTTTCTATCTGGATGTTCCACATGCCTTTCTATCCGGACGTTCCACATGCCTTTCTATCTGGATGTTCCACATGCCTTTCTATCTGGACGTTCAACATGCCTTTCTATCTGGACGTTCCACATGCCTTTCTATCTGGACGTTCCACATGCCTTTCTATCTGGACGTTCCACATGCCTTTCTATCTGGACGTTCCACATGCCTTTCTGTCTGGATGTTCCACATGCCTTTCTGTCTGGATGTTCCACATGCCTTTCTATCTGGATGTTCCACATGCCTTTCTGTCTGGATGTTCCACATGCCTTTCTGTCTGGATGTTCCACATGCCTTTCTATCTGGATGTTCCACATGCCTTTCTGTCTGGATGTTCCACATGCCTTTCTGTCTGGATGTTCCACATGCCTTTCTGTCTGGATGTTCCACATGCCTTTCTGTCTGGATGTTCCACATGCCTTTCTGTCTGGATGTTCCACATGCCTTTCTGTCTGGATGTTCCACATGCCTTTCTGTCTGGATGTTTCCACATGCCTTTCTGTCTGGATGTTCCACATGCCTTTCTATCTGGACGTTCCACATGCCTTTCTATCCGGACGTTCCACATGCCTTTCTATCCGGACGTTCCACATGCCTTTCTATCTGGACTTTCCACATGCCTTTCTATTAGGACGTTCCACATGCCTTTCTATCTGGATGTTCCACATGCCTTTCTATCTGGACGTTCCACATGCCTTTCTGTCTGGATGTTCCACATGCCTTTCTATCTGGACGTTCCACATGCCTTTCTATCTGGACGTTCCACATGCCTTTCTATCTGGACGTTCCACATGCCTTTCTATCTGGACGTTCCACATGCCTTTCTATCTGGACGTTCCACATGCCTTTCTATCTGGATGTTCCACATGCCTTTCCATCTGGACGTTCCACATGCCTTTCTGTCTGGATGTTCCACATGCCTTTCTATCTGGACGTTCCACATGCCTTTCTGTCTGGATGATTCCACATGCCTTTCTGTCTGGATGTTCCACATGCCTTTCTGTTGGATTTTTCCACATGCCTTCTGTCTGGATGTTCCACATGCCTTTCTGTCTGGAGTTCCACATGCCTTTCTGTCTGATGTTCCACATGCCTTTCTGTCTGGATGTTCCACATGCCTTTCTATCTGGATGTTCCACATGCCTTTCTGTCTGGATGTTCCACATGCCTTTCTTTTACTGGATGTTCCACATGCCTTTCTGTCCTGGATGTTCCACATGCCTTTCTGTCTGGATGTCCACATGCTTCTGTCTGGGATGTTCCACATGCCTTTCTGTCTGGATGTTCCACATGCCTTTCGTCTGGATGTTCCACATGCCTTTCTGTCTGGATGTTCCACATGCCTTTCTATCTGGATTGTTCCACATCCCTTTTTCTGTCTGGATTTTCCCACATGCCTTTCTATCTGGATGTTCCACATGCCTTTCTGTTGGATGTTTCCCACATGCCTTTCTATCTGGATGTTCCACATGCCTTTCTATTGGCGTTCCAAACATGCCTTTCTGTCTGGACGTTCCACATGCCTTTCTGTCTGGATGTTCCACATGCCTTTCTATCTGGATGTTCCACATGCCTTTCTGTCTGGATGTTCCACATGCCTTTTTATCTGATTTCCACATGCCTTTCTGTCTGGATTTTTCCACATGCCTTTTATCTGGATTGTTCCACATCCCTTTCTGTCTGGATGTTCCACATGCCTTTCTGTCTGGATGTTCCACATGCCTTTCTACTGGATGTTCCACATGCCTTTCTATCTGGACGTTCCACATGCCTTTCTATCTGGACGTTCCACATGCCTTTTCTATCTGGACTTTCACATGCCTTTCTATTAGGCGTTTCCACATGCCTTTCCATCTGGACTTTCCCCACATGCCTTTCCATCTGGACTTTCCCACATGCCTTTCTATCTGGACTTTCCCACATGCCTTTCTATCTGGACGTTCCACATGCCTTTTCATCTTGGCCCGTTCCACATGCCTTTCCATCTGGACTTTTCCACATCCCTTTTCCATCTGGACGTTCCACATGCCTTTCTATCTGGACGTTCCACATGCCTTTCTATCTGGACGTTCCACATGCCTTTCCATCTGGACGTTCCACATGCCTTTCCATCTGGACGTTCCACATGCCTTTCCATCTGTACTTTCCCAAACATGCTTTTCATCTGGACGTTCCACATGCCTTTCCATCTGGATTTTTCCACATGCCTTTCCATCTGAACGTTTCCACATCCCCTTTCCAATCTGAACGTTCCACATGCCTTTCCATCTGGACGTTCCACATGCCTTTCCATCTGGACGTTCCACATGCCTTTCCATCTGGACGTTCCACATGCCTTTCCATCTGGACGTTCCACATGCCTTTCCCACTGAACGTTCCACATGCCTTTCCACTCTGGACGTTCCACATGCTTTTCCATTGGACTTTTCCAAACATGCCTTTCCATCTGGACGTTCCACATGCCTTTCCATCGGGACTTCCACATGCCTTCCATCGGGACTTCCACATGCCTTTCCATCTGGACGTTCCACATGCCTCTCCATCTGGACGTTCCACATGCCTTTCCATCTGGACGTTCCACATGCCTTTCTCACTAAGACTGATCATTTCTAGCTTTTGATTTAAAGTTAGAGGCTTGTGACTCTCTCCTTTCACAAGCATTAATAATAATATCTTTATTTACTACAAGTACAAGGTATACAGTCCTAGCTGACAACAATGACATACTACTATATAGAAACTCCCTTGTTATGCTCTGCATTTCGGGCAAATTAGGTCAGTGTCCCAGGATGCGACCCACACCAGTCGACTAACACCCAGGTACCGATTTTACTGATGGGGAACACAGACAACAGGTGGAAAGAAACACGTCCAATGTTTCTACTCTGGCTGGGAATCGAACCCAGGCCATCGCCGTGTGAAGCGAGAGCGTTAACCACCAGGCCACCAGAGCCATTGTACTGTAATTAATAATTACAGTATTAAGAATAATGCAAGTAAAAAGCTTGAAAATTGCACAGTTTTAAGAGTAAGAATGATAGGACACACACAGAACAAGGAAATGAATCCGGTGAGAGTCGGGGTCAGGAGCTAGGGCTCAACCAGAGCAACCACATACAGGTAAGTATATAGAGACTTATGTATTGAGAAGTTCACCTGTACTGACAGGTATTAATTATCAGTATCGTAATTAAGAGACAATAAACATCAGTATCGTAATTAAGAGGCAGTAAACAATTCAGTGTCATAATTAAGAGACAATCAAATATACCAGTAACCACACCTGACTGTAATTCACCTTTGTATAAATACTGTATCAAGCTGAAATAAAATACCTTTATCTTTAACTAATAAAGAATATGAAATTTAAAATCATAATGTGAATACATAACAACGTTCCAATAATAAACCCATCTATTTATTACACAATGTTTATATCAAGTACATAGTTCCAATAGAAGAAGAAACCTGTAATAGAACCAGAGAGGGAAATATACAATGTAACTGATGTTAATTAAGGGAGAATAGAAGAAAGAATATAATGCAGACATTATTCAGGTGTTGTAACTGGGCGTGGACGCCCTGACTCCCTTGTTCTTCTCTCTTATGTGACCTTGTAGGACGGTTTACACCTCTTGTGACTAATTCCCTGTAATTACCTCCCCTTTGAGCTTGCACTCAGGTTAATTAGCCTCGCTGGAGAGGCTATATCATGTGGCAATTATAAAGTGCGGGTTGAGGTGTGCACACACAGGTGTTGTGGGTTGAGTACTGACACAGGTGTAATGGCGTGTGTGTGGTGTCAGGTGTGTGTGGTGGTTGTGGTGTGTGTGGCCTGGGGTCACTCTCAGGACCTGGGCAGGTCACCAGATGACCCTAGAGGACTCAGATATGGCACGGATATCAGCTGGAAGGGAGTCCTGAGGAACAGGTTGAGGATGCAGAACCGCTATAATCATCCGTAAGTCTGGCCCCTAGTGGGATTTATCCGAAGATTTGTTGGGATTTTTTTTTTTTACTCGGATGAGGGAGGGTTAGCCAGTCAGGATAACCCAAGAAAGTCTGTGTCATCGGGGACTAGTTTTATTCCCATTGGGGTCCTTCAGTTTTGTCCCCCAGGACACCTCAAGGGTGGTTCCTTGATGCTGGTGAGGGGGCTCTTGATCTAGGGAACCGGATCTGTGTTCCAGTTCCCCGAATTAAGCCTCAATACCTTCGATCCCCCCCCTCTGCAGGCACTGTATAATCCTACAGGTTTAGCGCTTCCCCATGATTATGATAATAATAATAATCTAATTCCCTGAATTAAGCCTGAATGTCTTACATTCCCTTCCCCCCAGACACTTTATAATCCCTATGGGTTTAGTGCTCCCTATGTCCCCCAGGATGCGACCCATAAGTCGACTAATACCTAGATACCTACTTACTTCTAAGTGAACGGGGACAGCAGGTATAAGGAAACATGCTCAACATTTTCAACCATGCCAGGGATTGAGCCCTGAACACTTCAGTGTGTGAGGCAAGAGCATTGCCAACCAAGCCACAGGTTAAAACTTCATAATTTATTTTCTTCAGGGTGGTGACTTGATCCAAGAACTTAGGGCTATCCTCCTTTTTCTTGGATCAAATCTGATTGCCTCCTACTCCTTACATTATTAGGTTATTCTAGGTTAAATCTCCATAATTTACTTTGTTTCCATAACATACTGCTGGCCGCATGCAAAGCAATGCATGAAACACAGGCTGAGTGGTCAGGTAATGACTTACGTATTCTGGGAGGCAGTTGAATGATCTTGAGCCCCTCACACTTACTTTGTTGTCTCTTAGCGTACTTGTGTCGCCCAGCTTTTCATTGGGGGGGATGTTGCATCTCCTGTTAAGTCTTTAACTTTTATTGCCTTTAGCATTCTATGGAGAGGGAGGATGGACACAGGGGTCATCCCACACTTACTAAAAACAACAGACATAGCACCACTCTACAAAGGTGGCAGTAAAGCAATTGCAAAGAACTACAGACCGATAGCACTAACATCCCCTATAAAAATCTTTGAAAGGGTTCTGAGAAGCAAGATCGCCAACTACCTAAATACCCAACAATTACACAACCCAGAGCAACACGGATTTAGAGCAGGTCGCTCCTGCCTGTCCCAACTACTGGACCACTATTACAAGGTCCTGGATGCTGTAGAGGATAAACAAAATACAGATGTAGTATACACAGACTTGGCAGAAGCTTTAACAAGTGTGACCATGGTGTAATAACGCACAAAATGCGTGATGAAGGAATAACAGGAAAAGTTGGTAGATGGATCTATAACGTCCTGACAAACAACACAATGAGTAATAGTAAACAGAGTCAAGTCAGAGGCAGCTACAGTGAAAAGCTCTGTTCCACAGGGCACAGTACTAGTTCTCATTCTATTCCTCATCCTCATATCTGACATATACAGAGATGTAAGCCATAGCTCTGTGTCTTCCTTTGCGGATGACACCCGGATTGCCATGACAGTGACCTCTGTTGAAGACACTGCGAGACTCCAAGTAGACATCAACCAAATCTTTAAATGGGCCATTCAGAACAATATGAAGTTCAATGAAGAGAAATTTCAGTTGCTCAGATATGGAGAACTTGCAGAAAATAAAACTGTATCAGAGTATATGACAAATTCTAACCATACAATAGAGCGAAAGAGTAATGTGAAGGATCTGGGAGTGGTAATGTCAGAGGATTTCACCTTCAAAGACTACAACAATGTATCTACCATATCTGCTAGGAAAATAATTAATAGGATGGATAATGAGAACCTTCAGAATTGGGGACGCTAAGCCCGTGATGATTCTCTTCAAATCGCTTGTTTTCTCTAGGTTGAATAATGCTGTACACTAACTTTTCCCTTCAAGGCAGGCAAAATTGCTGACCTGGAGAGTGTACAAAGAACTTTCACGGCACACATAAGTACGGTAACGCTCCTAAATTACTGGAAATGGTTGAAGGCCCTTGATGTACATGTATATTCCCTGGGCTGCAGGCGAGAGAGATACAGTGTGTATGATAATACACACTTGGAAAATCCTAGAGGAATTAGAATCAAACTTTACACGAAAATCACTCCCTATGAAAGCAAAAGACTCGGCAGGAGATGCAACATTCCCCCAATGAAAAGCAGGGGCACCATGAGTACACTTGAGAGACAGCACAGTAAGTGTCCGGGGCCCAAGACTGTTTAACTGCCTCCCAGCATACGTAAGGGGGATTACCAACAGACCCCTGGCTGTCTTCAAGAAGGCACTGGACAGGCACTTAAAGTCAGTACCTGACCAGCTAGGCTGTGGTTCGTACATCAGTTTGCATGTAACCAGCAGTAGCAGCCTGATTGATCAGACCCTGATCCACCACAAGTCCTGGTCTCAGACCAAGCCGCCAGAGCATTGACCCCCGAAACCCTCTGCAGGTATTTAGGCTCAGCTCAGGGAACTGGATCACAGATCGAGTTCTTTAGATCAAGAGCCCCTCACCAGTGTCAAGGAATCTCCCTTGAGGGGTCATTTCCCTTATATCTCCTCAAATAACAATTTATAAAAAAAAAAATTTGTTATTCCATGCTGTGCATAGGTTATATGTCTTGTAAAATAATGACGGGGTTCCACCAAGATAGTAATCTTGACCAGGTTGACAATTTTGGTTATAATAATTGAGTCAGAAATGGTGATGACAATAATGCATATGCTGTATTTATGGATAAATGCAGAAATAATGCTCTTCCCCCATGGATATAATAATAACAGCAATAGACAGTAGTAGCGAAGCTGCCACTGTTCAGTATTGGGTATTGACAAGAAAATCAGCAGACCAGAGGAGAAATCACCCTGGGTTTAAAAAACTGTATGTGCTTGAAAATTTGGGTATTTGGTTACAGAGATAAACTGTCACATGCACTTGCAAAGTTTGTACTGACATTAAAAAAAAAAAAAGGGCAGTAAAGAAGACCTTTAAACTATAGGCCTGTCCTGTGGACAGCTATCAGATACTGTACTATGGTTTTATTTATCTTTCATATGAATCATTATATAGTCTATATAAGTTGTATTATATACTTATAGAAAAAAAGGTTATTATTATTATTTTACCTCGAGCTATTATGATAATAAAATTATTCAAGAAAGAAATGGAATGGCAAATTGCATTTAGATAATAACTTCTCAGAAGGAATATAGTATTTGGAAATAATGCCAAAATTTCTTCAAAAGTATGGGGTAATACTACGGTAATAAAAACGATTGGAAATCCCTACAATGGTACTTAGGTAAATTAAGCAAATGGATTATTCTGGTTTAGAATGCTTTTTCTACACCAGGAAAATTCTTACAGGGAGCTATGGTAGATCTATAAGAAACTAATAAAAATTAATTCTAAAATGCCCAGTAGTTAAGCATTATTACCTTAGTGCTTCTTTTTGATTATTATAATAATAATAATAATAATAAGCATTATTACATAATATAGTTTTCATTGAGCCGTAGTACATTATGTGAAGTACAGTATAGAAGAAATTATTAGTATTTTCATGACTCAGAACGCATATGATCATGGCACCAAGAACGCTACGACCTGGAGCTGTCTACCGGTGTGTCGTTACCATCTTATACCTCGATCATCCTGTTGATGTTAGGGCATCATTGCAAAAGGATGGAGTGGAACTGTCTTCAGCCAAGCAGGACATCATCAAAGGTTATCCAGAAACCTTACTCCTGCAGGTCAGTTATGTTTAGCACTGTAAGTAAGTGTATTTACGTACAGTTACACATTAGTACAGCCTCTCCTCACTTAGCGACGTGCTCGTTTACCGACGACTCGGACTTACGATGGGCTCTCTGACCAGTATGCATACCTAAATTATGTATATATATTAGAGCTGATTTCCTCTATTCTTTTCATTACAGTGTACAGTACACAATTGTATAAACATCTAAAAATACACTAAAAATATTGTAAATGGTGCAAAGGTGACATAAAAACAATATCAAAGATGGTTGACACGAACCCAATACCATTATACAGTAGTATGCTCCTCACTTAGCAACGAATTCATGTACAGACGTGGTCTTAGGAACGGAACTCCGTCGTTAAGTGAGAAGAGGCTGTATAGTTACAGATTTAAACGATTAAGATTATCATACATAGTAACGTGTGTCAATTACCCAGAATAACCCAAAAAAGTCAGATGAAGTTACTTATATCCATTTGCATGTTTGATACTGTAGTTGCTGTATTTTAGATAATTTTTCGGCTAAGTATTGTACTATATTGTAATGTTATGATTATATGTAAAGTAGACCCACTTTAGTGAATGTTCACAAAAAAATAAACGTGGGATGAGGGCAGTATGGTGCTCTAATAAATTTGTTTCAACTTGTCATGAAGTTCAGTAGGCTTTGATGCTTTGATGGTGCCTGATATGAGGAGTTAAAATTTTTATGTAAATTCATTTGCTCAGAGAAAAATAGTGCCTTTTTTTTTCTATAGGTTATCACTTCAGATTTGAATGCATTTCATCAAGACTTGGCACTGGAAGCATTAAAAATGACTGTGATTTCACGAGAATAAATGTTGAGTCTTTCAGTATATTATTTTCATGTATCTGGTTTGCTCTTTTTATCTATGTGATTATGAAGTAAAAGCTATACAGTGGCAAAGATACTAATAGCTTATACAAATCTAATAATGATTAGCCCGTAAACGGTCCAAGCAGATCTACGTTCACATGTGTAGTGCTACAAAAGTAGATCTAAGTCTTTTTTACACATTTTCAAATGTAGAAAAACAAAAAGATGATCAACTTTTTTTACATACTTTCAAATGTTGAAAAAACGTATATATATACGTTTGGACCGTTTACGGGTTAAGTCGCCATATTGCAGGTTTCTTCAATTCGTCCATGTATTCTTTAATAGATATTGGAAATGGTTTATGGAGCATGAAGACTTAAGAATCATGCTTCTAGTGACTGTAATTCTACACACCTTAACCCCTTGACTGTTGCAACCCCAAATCCTGAGGTGTCTCCTGGTGTTGCAAGATTTCCAAAAAAAAAAAAAAAAAATTATTTTTCTTGTGAAATGATAGAGAAACTTTTCCCAATTGTAATGACAACAAAAGAACAAAATTTGATGGAAAACTGAAAATTATGCTCCCGAATTTGCGACCTCGCGTTTTTCAAATGGGCGTTTTCGCCCACTTGAGCCCTATTTTGGCAAAAACCCATTTTTCCCCCTTGACCAAATCATAGCTTTCTGTAGAACTCCTTTTTTTCTTCGATTTGAGTACAAAAACCTCCCAATTTACCGTTTTAAAAAAAACCCCCAATATTGGTAAAAATTTGAAAATTTGGGCCAAATTTTTCACAAAAATGAAATGAAAAATGCGACATTTCGGCTCTAAAAAACATTTTCTTTGTTCATCTCACGTCTTCGGGCCCCTTGAATTACTCCTTTCTATTTTTAATTTTATTCAAACAAATAACAAATATTTTAAATTATGCAACACTGCAATATTTAATAATTGTATAAATACAGTGGACCCCCCGGGGTTTCGTTTTAATCCCGGGAAGGGGTTAAATTTTTAGCGAAAAAAATCGTTAGTGAAAGAAAAATTTCCCCCCCGAAATAATGGAAATAAAAAAAATCCCTGCAAACACCCAAAAATATAAAAAAAATTTTTTTTTACCACAGAAATGTTAATTTTTAATACAACAAACTGAAAAACCATGCCCTTACTGACACACTTTTTTTTGAAGACTGGTATGTTTGGGGAGGGAGGGAGGGGGGAGAGCTTTCTTCTTACTGTTTAGAAGGGGGAACCCCCTTCCATTAGGATTGAGGTAAAAAGTCCTTTTCGGGGGTTTTTATTCCCTTTTTTTTAAAAGCCATAGGGCCAGCTTCAGAGTCATGGACTTCTTCCACAAGAATTGTCCATAGTGGCCTGTACCTCCGTTCCTTATGACTTCCCAAAAATGTTTCACCATTGTCATGTACATTGCCAACACGGCTTGCAAAGCTGTGTGAGGGTTTTTTCATCAAAAGTTTGCACTTTCAAGCCACTTTGCACGATTCCCTTTATTTTGTAGTAGGCAATTTCTTTCAATTTCTCTCCCCCCCTCTGAACCAGTTTCCCCAGGCCCGGGCCTCTTGCTCTTGAAGTTAAATCTTCAGTCTCGGGGTTAGTTCTTTCATTGTCCTCCCCCACCAACTTTTCCACATCCCCCCCACAAACCTCCAACCCCGGGATTTTCCCCAAACCCAAAAAAATGGATTCCTCAACGGCATAATCCTCTCGGGGGTTAGCCTAAAAACCCTTTTAAAATCCCTTTTGTCTAACATTCGGCCACAGTTTTTCCAAGCGGGTTTTAAGGGTCCTTTTAGTCATTTCCCTCCCAACCCTTAACCAAAAAGGTTTACAAATTGAGGATATTAAAGTGATCTCTCCAAAACTCCTTAGAGTCATTTGAGTTTCTGAGGCATTAAAAAGCATTTTCAACAAGCTTTTTTTGTCAGTTTCTTGAATTTGGGAAAAAACCTGCGGGTCCAGGGGGCTGCAGAGGGAGTGGTATTAGGAAAGGAAAAAACTTCACCAAATGAGCCGCCCCTAAAGCCCGCTCTGCCACTTGTAGATGCCCAGGGGCATTGTTAACACCAGGAGGCACTTTATTTCTAATTTCTTTTCAGTTAGGTAATCTTTCCTTTGGGGGGGAAATGCATGGTGAAACCCAGTTTAAAAAAATTTCCCCTAGTGACCATGCCCTTTCGTTTTTCCCTCCCCAGCACAAACAAATTATCCTTGAGGAATTCTTTGCCTGAACGCCTTGGGAGTTTCAGAGTGATACACTAATAAGGCTTTATTTTCAATCACCAGTAGCATTTGGGACCTGAGAAGAGTGCCTCTTTCATAGGCTTATGTCCTGGGGGGCCTTTTTCCCCCGATAATGAGGTCCTGTTGGGCCCTTTTTTCCCAAAAGCCTTTTCATACAATTAAACCTTGTTCAGGGTTTTAGTCCCTTTATTTCAGTCTCCCTTTAATTTTCCCCACATATTTTTCGCCGCTTTGTGGTTCCCCCGGGGAGCCCCACCCTGCCTTATCACATATGGATGCCCTGCTTTTTAAACCTCAAAAAAAACCTTTTTCGGGCCCTTTAAAATTTACTCACACACACTAGTTTCAGGGTTTTTTTAATTAATCCTCATGCAAATTTTCCCAGCCTTTTCACATGATGCTTGAGAGCGCTATCTCCCCACGTTTTTCATTATCCCACCAATAAAACCCCCTCAAAACTCCCTACTTGCGTCTTTGTTCGAAAACACAGTAAACTTTGGCAAAAACAGTTCCATTGCTTTTTGGTGCCCACAATATTTTCGAGGTGATTGGGGTTTTTTTGTACAACTTGACTAGGGCGGGGATACGCACCCACTTTCAAATTATCAATGAACTCTTTCTTCATTTCAAGGGAATTTTCACCTTATTGGGGTACGGTTGGGACTAGAACTTTTTGGGCCCATGGTCACTTATTTTCCAAAACAAAACCGAAAACACGTAATAATACAAATATTCCGGTGTATGTGGATGTTACCGGGAGGCTTGGGGGAAAAAAAGGAGGGGGCCTGTGAGGTGGGTGGGGGCACTTGGCGCGCCGGGCAAAAAGGTGAGCGGTTTTAATTTGGGAGAGCGGGAAAAATTTGCGATTAAAAAGCGGTTGCGAAATAGCATGGATGCCATCGTTATGCGGGGGTCCACTGAATGTCAACCCATTCATGACTGATATTAGAAAGGCTACTTTGGGCATTTATTGGGAAGACATTTTTGTTTTACTTTTAACATCGCCAAAAAAAACAAAATTTCCCCTACTTTTGACTCCCTTTCCGGGTTTTTTTCACGTAAAACCAATCAAAATCACCTATTCGTATCTAAATATGTATTCCATTCTATCAAAAGACCAAAAAAACGAGAATACAACTTTAAAAACTTTAAAAGAAAATAGACCACAAGTTGGCCTTAATTAAAAAAAGGTCAGAATTTTTTTTTTTCTTTTTCATGCGTGTTGCGGGTTTTTTTTTATTGGACACACTGACCACACGACCCATTCTCTCACATGTGGGCCTACCAGCTTTCTCCTGCTTGATTTGAAGCCGCTAGAATTTATGAGTATATATACGTCAGAAACGGTGGCTCGTAAGACATATATATACGACTAAAACAGTCAAAGGGTTATTTTTTGTATTTTTTGTCCTGCTTGATTACTAATTCCCTGTATAAAATAAAGGCTGGAAATTACTTCTCAAAATACGTACAGTATAACATATTTTGAAAGTTAGTACCTGTACATGTATAGTACACAGTACATATTGTTAATTACCATATTTTCTGGCATATAAGGCACATGAGTATGAGATACATCAGATGATGTTTCCAAGGAGTTGTAACGTAATGTAAGTAAACAACTGCTAAAGCGTAACCCGAAGCCTACTCTTGGCCCTAGCCTTGAGCATATAAGGCACAGGCTGATTTTTTAAGAATTTTATGTGGAAAAAAGTGCGCCTTATATTCCGGAAAATACAGTACATACTAGTAATCGAACAATGTTGCACCCAACAGGTTCCAAAGACAAGTGTAGATGGAGATTATCGTTTGCGGGTCGAGGGCAATGTTCCGGGAACGGTTGGTGGCACAGTGTTTTTGAATGATACTCGTCTATTTTTCTCGACCCGCTTCCTCACCATACTTATCCAGACCAACCGTCCTGTGTATACTGGCGACCAGATAGGTTAGTTCATGTGCCAATGTTCCACTCTTTAATTTTTAAACAGTCTCTCTCATGTTGATGTATATACTGTATGTATATAATTTTGTTGCTTATTCGTGATTTATAACTGATTGTTTAATTTTTGCTTGTCAGTTATCATGTGTCCTTAATGTAAAATAACTTTGATTTTGCATTGCCATGTACTGTATATTAGAAGGCTTTATAAAAAACTTTTGAAGATGTAGTAGTGAATGTTGGTAGCATTTGATTTATCCCTTAACATTTTTCAATGGTAAAATGTTCACTTTCAGTTCGCTTTCGAATCATCCTTCTGACCACTGAGCTGAAGGCATATGATGATCCTGTAGATGTGTATATTTTGGTTAGTAGTCTAAAAAAACATTTTAAAGTGAATGGTGTTTGTTTGTTTAACGTGTATACTGGAAGCATAGTGGTGTATTTGGATACTGTTTTGGGCTGTTAGTCTGATAATCGTGAATTTGAAACTTTGCATAAAACTAGGTTAGGGGGTCACTCATCAATTTTTCTGAAAATTAGGTATGAGATATACTGTACAGAATTTAGTTGCACTAACCAGAACCAAAAAATTCCTAGAATTTTCTTAATTGTGTAACTAATTTTTAAGTCCTCCTTGTGGGTCTGATTTTAATTGTTAAAGAACTGACTTTTTTGAATTATGTAGATAGGAATTTACAATTAGCGTAAACAAAATGCGCAGTTACATTATGTGAGAACACTCGTAGCTTTATTGGTGTGCAGATATCTCTAGTAACTAGAATACTGCAACCCTTGATTTAAGACTTCAGAAATACAGAACAGAATTCAGTGGGCCAGCTGAAGTCTGTTGTTTACAGAATTTACATTTTTTTTTTAAATGTTACTCTGATTAAAATGAAACTAACTTGTACTCCCTAGTTCCAGTTATTCCTACCAGTGAAAGTTAGACGTTCACTAACAATTACTGTATATACAGTAGAGTATACACAGTACTGTATAGGCTTTAACCCTTAAACTGTCCAAACGTAGATCTACGTTTGCACGCATTGTGCTCCAACCTTGATTTTCTCCCTAAGAAAGAATGTAAAAAAAAAAAGTAGATCTACCTTCGGAGCGTTTTGCGAGTGAACGTAGATCTACGTTTGGACAGTTAGAGGGTTAATATTTTCCCAACCCAAAATTTTATACTTTATTATTCTTATGTAGTATAAATTTTTATCTATATTTCTGTACAGCAGTATAGTAATTTTCTAATATACTCTTTAGTAAATAAAAATTGCTTGGTAAATAATTAATAACCACATAAGTGTTAAAATTTATTGTATAATTTAGAAATCTAAACCTTTTTATCATAATATTGACCAGTCGTGAGTGCTAATTTGTAAGGTACTTTGGTTTTGCTTAGTGCAACTAAATATTATGTAGTGTAATAGCATATGACAATAGGTAAAGTTGAGGGTGCTTGGCACTCTTGCTTGATTATTAATTCCTTAAGGGTTCATGATAAAAGAATTTCAATCTCAAAATTACAACATAGATTAAAATTACATTGTATTCAGGGGTACTTTGCAATGCCATATAATAGAAATGTTTAGCTATAAATTTATTTTGGTATTAGTCATTTTGTTAGGTAAGAGGACACAAGTGCAACTAATGAGACATTTTATTGTGGGAACGTTTTGCTCTCCAGGAGCTTTGTTAAGCTGTAACGGCTTGACAAAGCTCCTGGAGAGTGAAATTTTGCCACAATAAAATGTCACATTAGTTGCACTTGTGTCCTCTTACCTAACATATTGTTGGTAATTCTACCAACATTATTATTTTGCTTATTTTCTTCAGGATCCAGATGGCTATGTGATGCGTCGGTGGCCTTCTCGCCCCACCAATGTGGGTGTGGTATCCATGTCCTTCACCCTTCCATTCTTACCCAAAGTTGGTTGGTGGGGAATTAAGGCACTTGTGAATGGTCAAGAGGAAATAAAGAGGATCAAGGTTGAGAAGTGGTACACACCTCGCTTTGAAGTGAGTGTTCAAGAGGCGTGTTATGTCATTTTAATTTAGATAAGAAAGGAAGCTGATAAAATAAGTGAGAAGAGAGATGTTAGGGTAAATTATCTCAAGCACAGTGTAGGACTTCTTGCACAATTTCTTTCAAATGGTGGTATCCATGTTGTATCTGTTCACCTCTGGCAAAACAGTGAAAGTGTGAATAATGGCGGAAGTGTTTCTTTTTTGTGTCGCCCTGCCTCAGCGGGAGACGGCCGGTGTGTTAAGAAAAAAAAATCCATGTTTTCTTAGTTTTCTTCAGTGATCCTATTGTCTTTTATTCATTTTGTATAATTATCTGTTTTTAGCTATATTAATTGATCTTATGTTTGAAGTGTCACATCCTTTATCAGGTTTTATAAACCCTTAATGGTTTGCAATATACGTACTTTAACTTTTATTCTCTCCATCTATCATTATATTTGTTAAGAAACAGTACCCATTTTATCCATGTTACTTTTACATTGTTTCATAGGTAATTTGTTATACCTCATTTTCCCTATTGCTGGCACCAAGAAGTCCATTGTTCAATTTTAACTGTACAAATTTATGATCAAATACATTTAATGGCAGTTTGGAGGGATATGTTGTGTATCTTTATATGTATATGCTTCTAAACTGTTGTATTCTGAGCACCTCTGCAAAAACAGTGATTATGTGTGAGTGTGGTGAAAGTGTTGAATGATGATGAAAGCATTTTCTTTTTGGGGATTTTCTTTCTTTTTTGGGTCACCCTGCCTCGGTAGGAGACGGCCGACTTGTTGAAAAAAAAAAAAAAAAACTTTATCAAGTACATGTATGGCACAGTGAGAAAAATTACAGCTCATATAAGACATCTAAGACATTTTCTTAAAAATAGTAGCCTGGCTTTGTCCCATGCTGTGGTGGAGGAGTGGGTGTTACAATGTTGTACACAAGCATTGGTAAAGAACTAAAAGGCACAATACTGTGACTGGAACAATGCACAAATAACCTAGTGTCACTTTCTGAATGGCCCAAGTTGGACCGACATGTTGTTGTAAGCTCCTCTCTCTTATGTGTGGGTTATTTGTGTACAAGCATGTTGATGTTGCCCATTTTATAGGTGTACTTGTATTTGTGTAGTTCTTTCTTTCTTTCAACACACTGGCTGTATCCCACCAAGGCAGGGTGGCCCAAAAAGAAAAACGGAAGTTTCTCTTAAATTTAGTAATTTGTACGGGAGAAGGGGTTACTAGCCCCTTGCTCCCGGCATTTTAGTCACCTCTTACAACACGCATGGCTTACGGAGGAAGAATTCTGTTCCACTTCCCCATGGAGATAAGAGGAAATAAACAAGAACAAGAACTAGAAAGAAAATAGAAGAATACCCAGAGGGGTGTGTATATATATGCTTGTACATGTATGTGTAGTGTGACCTAAGTGCAAGTAGAAGTAGCAAGACGTACCTGAAATCTTGCATGTTTATGAGACAGACAAAAGACACCAGCAATCCTACCATCATGTAAAACAATTACAGGTTTTCATTGTACACTCACTTGGCAGGACGGTAGTACCTCCCTGGGCGGTTGCTGTTTACCAACCTACTACCTAGAATTTGTGTAGTTATACAAAACAATTTCTAACAGTTTCACCACTGTAAGCTTGATAGTTTTCAATTAATAAAATGTTTATTTTTGCACTTGTCAGCATTAAGCCTCTAATTGGTATATAATTTTATGTAAAGCAGTAAGTAATGAGCAGATTTTCCAGGTTTGTACAGTACCACCTCTGTATTATTTTGTCAAGAATTTCTTCTTTCCTGGAGGATATATGAAAGCAGACACAACTTGCTTCTCATTTCTCTTGACATTTCAAGGAATGAAGACACCTTTTGATACTAATGAAAGGCTCTGAAGCTAAGGAATTAGAGCTATCCTGCCCTTTCTCAGATTACACCTTTTTCTGTTTTCCAGGTGCTGTATGGTTCTTATGGGTTTAGAGCTTCCCCATGATTATAAATTTTGTGGCCTTTAAGGAACTTTCCTCTTTAAGTAACTAGGATCAGTTGTTACACTTTCTAATTTTTCTGACCAACTCAGTTGTGATTATTGTACATCCACAGGTGAAGTTGTTTATGCCCAAGTACTTTCTGGAGACGGATGAAGCAGTGACGGGTGAGGTAGGAGGAGAATTTGGCAATGATAAAGGTGCATTTGGTAATGCTACTTTAAGACTGTATGTACGCAGCAAACACAGTAAAGACTGGGTCTTCGTAATGGAGGAGGAATTTGTTCCGGTAAGTCTCCTTGACTTTATAATTTAATACTATAATTTAAGTGTGAATGATGGTGAAAGCACTTCTTTTTGGGTCACCCTGCCTTGGTGGGAGACAGCCATTGTGTTAAAAAAAAAATAAAGTTGTGATGTTGGAGCATTGATAAAACTACTATGCATGAGTTATCTGATTTTCAGTATTTTATTTCTAAGAACTTCTCACAAAATTTTACACACCCTCTTTATCAACTAGTTTTTCTCCATTCTTTCCACATGACCAAACATCTCAACTTCTTTTCTTTACATTGAATTAATTTTTTTTTAATTTTATAAATAGTTTTCAAATTTTCTCATAACTTAGTTTACCTGGAGTTTACCTGGAGAGAGTTCCGGGGGTCAACGCCCCCGCGGCCCGGTCTGTGACCAGGCCTCCTGGTGGATCAGAGCCTGATCAACCAGGCTGTTACTGCTGGTTGCACACAAACCAACGTACGAGCCACAGCCTGGCTGATCAGGAACTGACTTTAGGTGCTTGTCCAGTGCCAGCTTGAAGACTGCCAGGGGTCTGTTGGTAATCCCCTTGTGTATGCTGGGAGGCAGTTGAACAGTCTCGGGCTCCTGACACTTATTGTATGGTCTCTTAACGTGCTAGTGACACCCCTGCTTTTCATTGGGGGGATGTTGCATCGTCTGCCAAATCTTTTGCTTTTGTAGTGAGTGATTTTCGTGTGCAAGTTCAGTACTAGTCCCTCTAGGATTTTCCAGGTGTATATAATCATGTATCTCTCCCGCATGCGTTCCAGGGAATACAGGTTCAGGAACCTCAAGCGCTCCCAGTAATTGAGGTGTTTTATCTCCGTTATGCGCGCCGTGAAGGTTCTCTGTACATTTTCTAGGTCAGCAATTTCACCTGCCTTGAAAGGTGCTGTTAGTGTGCAGCAATATTCCAGCCTAGATAGAACAAGTGACCTGAAAAGTGTCATCATGGGCTTGGCATCCCTCGTTTTGAAGGTTCTCATTATCCATCCTGTCATTTTTCTAGCAGATGCAATCGATACAATGTTATGGTCCTTGAAGGTGAGATCCTCCGACATGATCACTCCCAGGTCTTTGACGTTGGTGTGTCGCTCTATTTTGTGGCCAGAATTTGTTTTGTACTCTGATGAAGATTTAATTTCCTCGTGTCTATCAATAATATTAATAAAAACCCCCACAGATCTCATAACCTTTTTCCTTGCACCATCCTTCAAAACTTTGTTCATTCCCATATTCTGTCGCTGTTGTAACCCAGAAATTAAAAGTCCCACCAGTATTGCAGGTTTAAAAAAAAAATTTCTTAAGTGGTAGAGATTCTAAAGGTAATGACACCAAAAAGAGCAAAATTTTATGTGAAACTTATGGAATTAAAAAGGTGAGAATTTGGAAGTTGGGGAGCACTTTTACATAACTGCAATTTTACCCATTTTGTGGCCTATTTTAGACCACTTCCATTAGTCAAACTGACCCAATTCTTGGCCATTTCACTAGTACGTCTTTGTACTATCGACACGCCTCTGGCAAGATTGTGATAGAGTGAGAGATGGTTAAACTGTTTCTTCTTTTTTGGGTTATCATACCTTGGTGGGAGACAGCCAGTGTGTCAAAAAAATTCTACTGAATATAGAAATTATTACTCCCCTTTATATCGTAAGAAAATGTATACAGTGGTCCCTTGTTTTTCGTAATTAATCCGTTCCTGGAGGAGCTACCATAAATGAAATTTACAATTTGCGAATCAATTTTCCCCATAAGAAATAATGTAAATACAATTAATCCGTTTCTGACACTCAGAAGTATTAAAACAAAAAAATTTTTTACATGAAATATACATGTAGTACATAAACAATACAATGGGAAATGATGAATGAAACATTAACAGCATAACACTTACCTTTATTGGAGATTCTTTTAGTGTATGGGAGACTGGAGGAGGAGAGAGATTGGATTGTTTACAGTTTGAAAGGGGAATCCCCTTCCAGCAACACCTCAGGTACCAATTGCTTCTCTGGGGTTGCTTCTCTTCTCTGTTTCTTAATGCCACTAGGACCACCTTGAGAGTCTAGTCCTGTCTCGCAAAGTAACTGTGGAGAGAGCTCTGTTTCTGGCATCTCTTTAACACTTCCCTAAAATGGCCCAAGACTTTGTCACTGTACATATTTCTCACCTTCTTTACCACAGGCTTGGCACTAGGAGCTTTCTTTGGAGCCATGGTAGCTTATTTAGTACTTGCAAGCACTAAAATGAGTGGAATATTATGAAATATTTCGTAGGAGCACTTGAGGGGACCTTCACTCACTGGTAAATAATGCCAGACTGGCTGGGTAGGAAGGCCTCCCCAGCTCACACCATGCGTACGCGTCCTGGACGAACTACTATTCGCGAGTCAACCTATGAAAAGCGAGTCCATGTTTATACGAAAATAACCCTATGATTGGCGAAATTTACGATTGCCGAGAACTACGAAAAGCGAGGGACCACTGTATTTAGTTTGCCCAAAACCCTCCTTGTGGAGGGCGAGGTCATAGATGAAACAAGTCGTCTCAGGATCATTTGTAGTGGGAAGAATTGAGCCATCCAGGAGGTACAGTGAAACACCATAAGTTCAACTCAGTCAGGGGGGTTCCACAAGGACCTGTACTTGCTCCATTATGATGATTTTAATTCATGTTTTTAAATGACTTCTTGTAGGTGAGAAATAACAGTGCCTGCACTCTTAGATGAGGGGGTAGAGATGTTACAGTTTGGAGGGCAGTTTGAACTGTGATGTGAACATTCTTCTGGCAAGGTAGCGATTGATGAATAAGTGATGGTGAATAGATTTCCTCTTTTTCAGGTCACCCTAATATTTTTGTAATTAAATAAGGGATGAATATTTTTCTAAAATTTTCAACTGTGAGTATCACTTTCTAAAGACCAATGTGAAGTTCTGCATATTTGAGGAATGTGTGTCCAAACTTAGGATGTTCCACTGCACTATCTTTCTTCTCTGTGATTGGGGATGGAAGTCTGTTAATGTTTTGCACTCTGGCAGTACTGCTTTTTTTTTTTACTACCCTCATGAACATGAGGGAGACAGCAGGCTTGTTAAAATAAAAAAATGAGCATGCATGGCAAGTGGTAAATCATGTACACTTTTTATACTCAATGTACACTTACCTCTACTTTAACATAAGAACATAAGAATGTAGGAACACTGCAGAAGGCCTACTGGCCCATACGAGGCAGGTCCTTATCAAAACTACATCTACCTAAAGCTACTCAAGAAATAACTCCCGTACCCCTTGACACCAATCAAACCCAGCCACTCCCACTCATATATTTGTCCAGTCTCTTCTTAAAGCTACCCAAGGTCCTAGCCTCTATCACCCCACTGGGAAGACTGTTCCATGCATCTACAACTCTGTTAGAAAACCAGTACTTACCTATGTCCTTTCTAAATCTAAATTTATCCAACTTAAATCCATTATTCCTGGTTCTTACCTGGTTCGACACCCTCAGTACTTTATTAATGTCTCCCTTGTTTATGCCCGTCATCCACTTATACACTTCAATGATATATTCCCTCATTCTACGCCTCTCCAGAGAGTGGAGATTTAAGGCTTTAAGTCTATCTTCATACGGGAGGTTCCTTACACAGTAAATCATTTTAGTCATTCTTCTCTGTATGTTCTCTAATGGGTCTATGTCCATCCTGTAGTAAGGGGACCAAAACTGAGCAGCATAATCTAAATGAGGCCTCACTAGTGATGTATAGAGCTGTAAAGTAACTTTTGGACTTCTGTTACTTATACTTCTTGAGATAAATCCAAGTAATCTGTTGGCCTTGTTGCGCACACCAAGGCACTGCTGTCTTGGCTTTAGATTTCTGCTTACCATGACTCCCAAGTCATTTTCACATTCTGTATGACCAAGCTCCACTTCACCTAGATTATACTTTCTTGTGTTATTAATAGTTTGTACTCCTGTAATATTTCATTTCCAGTTCAGGAGGCCTGGTTGGAAACTGGGCCTATGGTATGATGATCCCAAGACCATTAAGAGAGATAATGGATGTCTTTCTTATTACAGTTTGATGGAGAAGATGAGTACAGTTTTCCTATGGAGGAAATTTCTAAAAAAGTTCCAGCACTGGATGGATCAGAAGTTCGCGTTGAAGCAGAAATTACTGAAACTTTTATGCTGGTCACTGAAACAGGTTATTCAATGGCTAAAATCATCAATTCGTCTGTTAACTGTCGCTTCTTAGGTTCTCCTCCATATGTCTTCAAGCCTGGAATGCCATTTGAAGCTTCTGTAAGTTGCAACACTCTCTCTGTCCTTGAGTCAAGCCTGATTACCTCCCATATCCTAGGTGCTGTATGACTCGTATGGGTTTAGCACTTCGCCATGAATACAGCCTCTCCTCACTTTGCGACATACTTGTTTACAGACCTCTCGGACTTACGACCAGCTCTCCAACCCGTAACCAAACCTGAATAATGTATATTAGAGCTGATTTCCTTTATTCAGTTTATTACAGTATATGGTACACTACTGTATAAACATTTAAAAATATACCAGAAATGTTATAAATGGTGCAAAGGTGACATTAAAATAATATCTAAAGATGGCTGACACAAACCCCCCTACCAGTATAGTATGCTCCTCGCTTAATGACCAATTCACTTACTGACCAACTCTTAGGAACGGAACACCATCATTAAGTGAGGAGGGGCTATATAGTACTATTGTGAGTTGTAAGATATTTCATGCTTTAATCCTTAAACTGTCCAAACGTAGATCTACGTTTGCGCGCATAGCACTCCGACCTTGATTTTCTCCATAAGAAAGAATGTAAAAAAAAGCGTAGATCTACGTTCGGAGCGCTACGCGAGCAAACGTAGATCTACATTCGGAGTGCTACGCGAGCGAACGTAGATCTACGTTTAGACAGTTTAAGGGTTAAGATTCTGTTCATATCAGTAGTGCATAGTTGCATGGTTTAAGCCACTTTTGATGAAAGATGAATTTGCTTGATGTTTGCTATGGCTTATTGTGCTCTTAACATCTAAATTATATTGTTTTTATTGAGCTTCAAACAAATTAATATGCTATTTATATATTTGAGCTAATGTAAGAATTTTAGGATATTAAGATGTTATTTGCTCTTAAATAAAAACATAACATGTTTATGCAGATAGCAGTTTCCTACCATGACCTGCAACCACTGGGGGTTGAGAAGCTGCATAGTTCCAAGCTGGTGGTGAGAGCTGAAGCTCAGGCAGAATCTGGCTCCAGACACACTGTTTTTAATGTGGAGGTGGGCAAACTCATGTCTTAGCAGATGTATGCTGACAGTATTTTAAACATTTTTTTTTTTGTTTTACCAAAAGCAGTAAGAGGTGAGAGGCTATTGTACCATACAGGATCATCTACTGAGGAAAAATATAAGTGCCTCATAATTTAGCTGTAGCAGTTTGGGATCACACTCAAAGGCCTGGGTTTGATCCTGAAGCAGGTGGAGACATCACATGTTTCTCTGTGCTTATTTCTTCTATTCACATAGCTGTAAAATGGTAGCCAGGTTTTAGGCAAATATTGTGGGTTGCATCCTAGGCTTTGGCATAAGTCAAAACTGGATAAAAATTCTTTGCTTTTAAATTAATTGGTAGTGAATAAATATTATTATCTTGCTACCACTTTTTTTTTTATTATTACTGAAAGATAGGCATGGATTATTTTGAGATACTGTAGTTACATAGAATGTTGGAGAGAGACTGGCATACAGAGGTGATGACTGTGTAGAGTACAGGTACTGTAAACTTGAGTAATGAAATTGCTCTGAAGATTTATTTTGTGTTAGTCAGAAGGTCTAGGAAGAGTTATTGTATATCTTTAAGATCATTTCTTTTTCAGATACCTCAAGTTAATGCCGAGGAAGAAGAAAATGAGTTCCTTAAATCATCTTGGCTCTACAATAAGAGGTTACAGGCAATTTTGGCAAAGGATCCTACCTACAAACCTGAAGACTATGACTCCAGGATCAGCATTGACTCTGAATCTGGGACACGGTACTTGACAGAAAATGAGCTTGTAGAAAAAAAGCTGGAAATTTTTGTAAGAAATCAGCATTTCCAGGTAAACGAAATTTATTTGCTTGTGTACAGTTACAAAGGAATTAATGGATTCACACTGCTTGTGTGCAGTCACAAAGGGATTTAGTAGATTCATACTGCTTGTGTATAGTCACAGAGGGAGTTGATGTATTTCACACTGCTTGTGTACAGTCACAAAAAGATTTACTGGATTTCACACTTAGCAATAATTTTATTTCCACAGAAATATCGTGAGAAAGGAGTGTTCCATTTTACAGTGGATGTGCCAGACAAGACGGCAGGACTTACTCTAACTGCATCATATCAGGACGATTCAGGCTCAATTGCTTCAGCAAGTGCTCAAGCAATTGCTTATTATTCATCCAAGGTAAATACAGTATATTTATTTTGATTGCTAGTCATAGGCCACAAGTTGCTGAGAGTCATACCATTATTTAATTCATCATTTGCTGACCCTGTTTGTGACCAGCTGCATGTTATGAATTTATACTGAATTCACAAAAAGCTACATGTTTCTGGGGTGATTATGTAAGATATGTGGAACCCCTCTGTGAATCAGAAGGATAACCATTAAGAGTGTCCTACCGTATATAGATAAATATGAAACAGAATAGGTACTTATCATGCAAGTAGTCTTGTTAATATCTGGGAGATAAAGTTGTCAATAAATTGGGTGCCTGGCACCTGGAGAAAGACTTGTCATCTTCAGTGGAACCTGGATTGCTGAGGCAAAGGAGCAAGTAAACCCCATTGTGTCCTGGAAGTGGACTGGTGGGAAGCTTTGTCATAAGAAGGTGTAGGCTAAAGAGGTGACGCATTGTACTTGTCCAGATCATCTGAGAGTTGGTATTGAGGCTGGAAGCTGAGTTGATAGAGGACGGTCTCAAGTTTTTCACCCATGCCCCTACTGGACACATCACTAAGCCCCTGGTAACGAGAATTACAGATTCTCCTTTTCTTAAGTGGAAGTCTGAGTAGGTTGTGAGAGTGATACTAGGCTCAGTCCCTTGGCACTTCTTTTATCATTTTTATCTTAGTAAATCATGAAAGATACCTTTCTGTGTCCCATGCTATATCTGAAAAGTAAGTAGTCTTCTATCAAGAACATCCCAGTTGCAAAACAGATAGCAGGACAAGGCTTAATGTAGTTTAGGACTACTTCCAAGAACTACTCCAGGATGATTTTAGGAGGGTTCAAATGCTTGATGGTGTTCTTGATCATCTCAGTTTGAAGAGAAATGCCCAACATATGATGTAGTTGTTCCTTCTGGGCACACTTGATCAAAATTGTGTGCAGGGCCTTACCCAACTGAAATATTTGTAGTAGGAACTTAATCATTACTGCAAAGTAGCTCCAGAATCTGGGATGTTCTGACTGTCCAGGAAAAGTTGCATGGCTTTTGACATTGATTAGTACTGGTGACACATGAAATGCAGTGGTGTTTGAAGACAGATTATTGCTCCTATGGTCAGGCTTCCTTGTTGAAGAAGATTCGGTGTAAGATACAAGCTGAAAGACGAGATCAGCCATAAGAGACTCAGGACTAGGCCAGCCCTTTTGATTTAGTGTGGGAGTCACTCTTTCTGAAGACGGACCACTTCCTGAGCTATGCATATCTAGGTTGGGAATCAGGATTAATAAGGTTGAGAATTTCTGGTAACCTAACCCTTAAGGATCACTAGAATTGATTACTTGTCCAGAGTTACAAAATAATGAAAGTAGGGACTAGGGAAAGAAATGCCAGTGTGTGCATCATCTGAGAGGGCAAAACAACTCAATTAAAAGAAAATGACATAGGATATGCATTACACTAACCCTGTTCCCAAAATTGCACATAAACAAAATAGCATCAGTATTATATGCATAGCTGACAAACTTCAGGATTGCCTTCAGAATTCTAAACAAACACTCCTTTAAATCATTCTCTACATTTAACCAAACACAGTAAATTTTGAGAACACTCGGGTATACATCAAGACTGGCATTGCACTATGAGGAAATAATGCTTGAGCTGGACCTCTTGGCCCTTGAGAAGCAGTACAAACAATAATATGATCATGTCATACAAAATACTCCTCGGCATAAACACGCTACCATGGGTAGGTTCCAGAAGAAAAGGATTTAAATGAAAATCTTCAAACCATTTAACAGAGCTCTCATGTAAAATCATCTAGACAGTGATACACTAGGACCTAACTTCATAAAGTACAGGTTTTAAATATAGATATGTCAAGACTTAGATCTTGGCAGAGCCAAGATCTAAGTCTTGACAGAGTCAAGATCTAAGTCTTGTCCTTCTATTTTTCATATATGCAGACTCATGCAGGTATAATTACATAATTTATTTTTATTTACTTTACAGAAACAGTATATTGGTGTGGAGACAAGCAGCAAGGAAGTCACTGTTGGAGATTTTGTAGTGTTTCATGTCCGATCCAATTTTAACATGGATTCTTTCCACTACTTAGTAAGTTCTCTTAGTTCTACTGTGAGTTTCACGTTCTTTAGACAATCCGTAGTCTAAACATATCTTCATTTAATCATGAATCTGATAATATACTTGTGCTTATGTTTTTCTTTCTTGTAATCATCCAAATTGAGAAGCTAAGTCTGTTCTTTGGTATTCTTATTTTATAAAGTTTTATAATTGTGTATTTGTTTGATTTATTTCTGAATTTATTTTTTGTTCAGATTATGGCAAAGGAAATGATTCTGTATGCTGCAAAGGAGGTGCTAGATAGAACCAGCCGAGCCAGTGTTAGGACAGTTTCTGTTCCTGTAAGTTCAGAGATGGCCCCAGCATTTAAGATCATTGTATATCATCTCACCCACAGTTACGAGATCATCTCAGATTCGCTTACTGTGCCAGTGGATGGAATTTCACGCCACAAGGTAACCTGATGCAGTTCTGTGTACTAGATTCTGTCCTATCTCAGTTATTTCCAGTTTGTGCGATAGTTTATATTTTTGTTTTGTGCTTCTTTGTGAAGTGAGTTTTTATTTTTGTTTTACCTAAGGCATTTTGTTTTTCTTGTGTTTACCATTCATAGTCAAGATCACTGAGCAATCTCATAGGTCTGAGTTCTTGTAAATGTCACAACTTCCTTGTAATATATTGTCCTCTGACACATTATTCCCATAAACATCCCTACAAGGGAATGGCTATTACAAAGAAATATAAAAATGGCTCCATTGTAGTCTTATCTGAACATCAACTGTAGCATGTTTTGCTGATCACTAGCTCCTATCTTCACTTTGATATTCTTACATTCCACTCCTCCTTCAGAGTGCAGGCACTATACTTCCCACCTCCAAGATTCAAGGCCGGCTAACCTGTTTCGTTGAATTCCTTTATAATTGTTACTTTGCTCACTCCAGTAACATGTCGATAAATAGGTTACATGGTAATTGCTTGGAGGAATTGGTTACAAGTTCATTATTTAGGATAAATAGATAACACAAGAAATATTGTTGAGATTTACAAATAGGCTGCATGATCCTTATGTAGAAATGCAGTATAATAATATTTTAATGGTATATATTGCTTAATGTTTATTTTCAGGTTCGGCTAAATATTAACCAAGACAAGGATCACAGTATTCGCTCAGTAGAGCTGGGCACCTACAGTACACCGGGAGCTTTCTATGGCATCTCTGGAGTACGAGAGTTCACCTATGCCATGCGAGGGGGTAATGAATTGTCCCGTGCATCTGTGCTCAACTCGCTACATGGCTTTGCTAACAGCACCCGGTATGTCAGTTATTTCTTACCAGGCTTAATATCTCCAGTGCTCTTCTTAATGGGCATGTCAGTTCCCCTGTCTTCTAATAATATATTATTTTTTTCCTATAATCTACCTTGTCCATAATTACTATTGCATTTACTTTGTCTGTTACGTGAGGTGAAGTCTAAGATCTTTCCTTAATTCATGGTATAACTTAACAAATAGTACCATGAATTAAGGAAAGATCCTAGACTTCACTTTAGGAAAGCAGACAAAACAAATGCAATAGTTATTATGGAGAAAGTAGATTATAGGGGCAAAATAAACATTATATTAGGAGACAGGGAAACTCTCACGCCTCTTAATGTGTCAAGGATATTTTGGAAAAGATTTGCTGTCTATGTTGAGGGGAAAGGAACTGTAGAGATTAATTCTTGCCAGTGCATTGGAATCTTGATTATCGAACCATACCACGGGTGGGGTTTGATCCCGCGGTCAGAGAGTCTCAGAACTCCAGACCGTCGCGTTAGCCACTGGACCAGCTAGCCACAATAAGATTCGTCCAACTAGGTATATTTCTACACCATAGGAAGGTTAGCCTAGGCACCACTGTGACCACAAATTCAAGTTTTTACAGAGGAATCTCCAGCTAGCATGGCCGTGAGGAACTCTAGCTCAAGTCCCCTCAAAGCTGGTCTAGTGGCTAATGCGACGGTCTGGAGTTTTGAGACTCTCTGACCGCGGGATCAAACCCCACCCATGGTATGGTTTGTTTGCAATTGTGTCATTACGATTTCGTGAGTCACGTTAATGGCTTTGAGGGGACTTGAGCTAGAGTTCATCACGGCCACGCTAGCTGGAGATTCGTCTGTAAAAGCTTGCATTTGTGGTCACAGTGGTGCCTATGCTAACCTTTCTATGGTGTAGAAATATACCTAGTTGGACGAATCTTATTGTGGCTAGCTGGTCCAGTGGCTAACGCGACAGTCTGGAGTTTTGAGACTCTCTGACCGTGGGATCAAACCCCACCCGTGGTATGGTTTGTTTGCAATCGTGTCATCATGATTTCGTGAGTCATCTTGATTATATTCAGTCTTGCAACTAGTGAATAAAATTTTGCTGACATGAGTCCCGAATGCTGATTTATATTTTTATAATGTATAGCAGTACCCTAGATAGGAGGTTGGTAGACAGCAACCGCCCCGGGAGGTACTACCGTCCTGCCAAGTGAGTGTAAAATGAAAGCCTGTAATTGTTTTATGTGATGGTAGGATTGCTGGTGTCCTTTTTTCTGTCTCATAAACATACAAGATTTCAGGTACGTCTTGCTACTTCTACTTACACTTAGGTCACACTACACATACATGTACAAGTACAAGCATATATATACACACCCCTCTGGGTTTTCTGCTATTTTCTTTCTAGTTCTTGTTCTTGTTTATTTCCTCTTATCTCCATGGGGAAGTGGAACAGAATTCTTCCTCCGTAAGCCATGTGTATTATAAGAGGCAGCTGAAATGCCGGGAGCAAGGGACTAGTAACCCCTTCTCCTCTATAAATTACTAAATTTAAAAAGAGAAACTTGTTTTTCTTTTTGGGCCATCCTGCCTCGGTGGGATACGGCCAGTTTGTTGAAAGAAAGAAGTATAGCAGTATACAATACTGTCTGTAAGTTTATTCTCTTAGTTTCCTTCTTGCTTACCTAACAAAACCATTTATAACCATTGACACATGTTAATTTTCCTGACTCTATCTGGGGAAACAGGCAGGTAAGCAAGCAAGCAAGCAAGCAAGGCAGTCAGTGCCTATCTTTGGCAAGAACCAAGGCATGTGAGAAGCCTTTTGATTGCATTAAAAAGTAACAAAAATGCAACAGCCTACAAAGTAACATTGCAGGGAAGTGTGAATAAAGAGATAAGGGGAAAGTGGAATCTTCCTACACATACCATATGGTGTACTACTTGTATAATGGGCAAAAAATAATTCTTGCAATGTTCATTGTATATTTAAACTTTCCTTTTTGCCATCTCTACATTTTTCTTTTTCACAGTGTTAGTTTTTTTTTATCATCCTGTAAATCTTGGTGTCTACCTGGACTCTTCATTGTTTGTTGAACACATCAACCATATTGTTAAATCTCACAGTTTTAATATTCATAATATTTAGCAGTCGGGAAACATCTACAAGTTGAGTATCTTGGTCCTCATCCACACGTTTGTTTCCTCTCAAATTGATTTTTGCAATAATTTGTATGTCACTTTGTCTAGCTATCTACCAAAGTGATTTTAGTCTGTACTGAATCCTGCAGCTAAGCTGGTATTTTTCCTCCCAAATGGGATTTCCACTACACCCTACTTGTATGAACTGTATTTGCTCCCAGTCAAGGGAGTAATTGAATTTTATGACACTTGTCATGAGTTCTAACTCCATGCATACCATGATTTGAATTTAAACTTTGTTTATTAACATTTGAAGCTAATAAGTTTTAAGGACTTGAGTATCTTGATGATTTGTTCGTACCTTTTACATTGGGCTCGGGAACGTTTCTGCAAGTTGCTGTTGACTTTTTTTTTTTTTTTTTTTTTTTTTTTTTTGGGGGGGGGGGGGGGAGAATAATTTACAGAAAGATCCTTTTCTTATATACTCCTAGACTGGTTGACAGGTTACCCTGAGCTGTTAAGAGCCAGGAAGCTGTTTATACTTTCAGGTGTGTTGAAAGCACACTCTTTTCTAGAGCTTATGATCCTAATCATTATATTGTACTGTCACTCTTGAATTTAAACTAACATTGCTTCTTCATCATTGTTGTTGCATTTGTTTTGGTGTTTGAGTGTTTATTAACCTCATGAAAGAACATTCACTTAAGAGTAATAACTTGCCAAGTTGTTTAATTTTTTAACTCGGTAGCCATCTCCAGCTAAGGCAGGGTGACCCGAAGAAGAAAACGCATTCACCACCATCCATTCATTCACCATCTTTGCAGAATTGTGCTGACATCACACTTGGTTTACCCTCAGGATACAACATTCCTGTCCCTTTTTCAGAATACAGCCATCAATTTTTTTTATTCATCTTACATGTGAATAAGAAGTGTATATTTCACTCTTTTTCCAGATCCCTGCACAAAATGACCTGGCGATATCGTGAGGGCTACCAGCCAGAGGAAGTAGAGTACTATACTGCTGGCAACTATGGCCCAGATGCTAATAGAACCTTTGATTTTAGTGGCCTTGTAGTATTAACTGATACTAATGTTGGTGTTATTCCTGGTTATGCTGGTAAGTTTGTGTGTATATATAATGTATTTTTGTTATATGGTAAGTTATGCCTGACAAAAATGCTATTTTTAATGAATTATTGCACTGTATATGAAGCATAATCTGTAAGGTAAACTTTTTATATAGAGATGTATCAGTGTTAAGACCACTGTCTAAACACTTGCCCATTTAAAATTCATTTTTGTGTTGGACTGTGTTAAGTTTAAATCAGGTATTAGAATGTTGTACGTGATAGGCTACATGAGTATGTGATGATCATGGAAGATTTATGGAGGCTGTCTTTGAATCTGTGCAATCAGTTGGGATATTCCTGAAAAAATTACACTGGATTTACTGGTATATTAATGTTTTTGTCAAGGCTTATATAGAATAAAATGTTGTTATAGTAAAGCTTGAAGGTGTGAGAAATGTGGATAAGGTTAAGGAGTTTTCAGAAATAGTCACTGATCAACATATATTTCTCTCCCTATTCTTCAAATAATTTGTTTATTCTGTTAACATTTCCTTGAGAGACTACTCTCACATTTCCCTTTTTGGGTTCTTGTTGTGTATTTTATTTTGCATCTCCTTGCAATACTACTTTTCTCTTTACATCTCCCAATTTGCCATTTTTGTACCTATTTTGAAATTTTATAAAAATTCATGTGACATGGGCTCTGGTGGCCTGGTGGTTAATGCTCTCGCTTCACACGGCGAGGGCCTGGGTTCGATTCCCAGCCAGAGTAGAAACATTGGACGTGTTTCTTTCCACCTGTTGTCTATGTTCCCCATCAGTAAAATGGGTACCTGGGTGTTAGTCGACTGGTGTGGGTCGCATCCTGGGACACTGACCTAAGGAGGCCTGGTCACAGACCGGGCCGCAGGGGCGTTGACCCCCGGAACTCTCTCCAGATATACTCCAGATATAGTGTACTTGATAATGTTTCTACTTGGTTTGACATGACTTTAGGAATTTATGTGAGTGAACAGCTGAAGGTTTGCTAAGTAGCATCTGTTGGTCTCAGACAATATAATAATCATTACAGCCTCTCCTCACTTAACGATGGAGTTATGTTCCTAAGATCATGTTGGTAAACGAATTTATCACTAAGCAAGGAGTACACTATATTGGTAGTGGGTTTGTGTCAACCATCTTTGATATTGTTTTAATGTCACCTTTGCACCATTTATAGCATTTTTAGTATATTTTTAAGTGTTTATACAGTAGTGTACTGTATATTGTAAGCAACAGAATAGAGGAAATAGCTCTAATATACATTATTTAACCCTTTGAGGGTTTTGGTCGTACTAGTACGTCTTACACTTAGGGGTTTTTGACGTACTAGTACGCATAAATTCTAGCGGCCTCAAATCTAGTGGGAGAAAGCTGAAAGAATGAAAGAATGGGTCTATGTGGTCAGTGTGCACAGTCTAAAAAAAATCCTGCAGCACACAGTGCATAATGAGAAAAAAAAAACTTTGACCATTTTTTTGGAATAAATCAGCGACTTTGCAGTGTATTTTCGTATGGTATTTATTGTTGTATTCTAGTTTTCTTGGTCTCATTTTATAGAATGGAAGACATATTACAGAAATTGAGATGATTTTGACTGGTTTTACAATGAAAGGTGCCTTGAAATTGAGCTCAAAGTAGCAGAAATGTTCGATTTTTACCAAACTTCAAAAGTAAACAAATCGTGCCAAGCGTGCAATACACGTCAACTGGTGAGTCTAATATTCTTTCACAAGTGCACCAATAATATTTATACCATTTTTTACACTAATGCAGTAGTCTGCATAACAGTAAATCTTATATTTTTTGTGAGAATAAAAATTCAAAGTGGAAAGCAAAAGAATATAAGAGGGGCCTTGAGACGTGACTAATGACTAGAGGAAATGTCATTTTAGTGCCAGGAATATCTTTCTTGTTTATTCTGGACCCTATTCGGAAATTGGCATCTTTTGAAATTTGTGTGAAATTGGCAAAATTGCTAAATTCTGACCACTGTACTGGATAGTTAAATTTCATATATGGGTGGTTTCTTGCACCCATTCGATAGAAAAAATGGAGTTCTAGGGAAATATTCATGTTTTTTGTCGACTAGTACAGTGAAATTGGCCGAAAATGGGGCTCAAAGTGGGCAAAATCGCCGATGCGTAAACATCGCCGAGACCGCTAACTTTGCGAGAGCATAATTCCGTAAGTTTTCTATCAAATTTCAAACTTTTGGTGTCTTTATGATTGGGAAAAGATTCTCTACTTTTTCATAAGAGAAAATAATTTTTTTTTTTTTTAAATTTGGCCGACCCTGAGAACGAGTTTCGGAGAGGGCCTGTCGACCCTCAAAGGGTTAAGTATGCATACTAATCAGAGACCCCATCATAAGTCTGAGTCGTCATTAAACAAGTACGTCGCTAAGTGAGGAGAGGTTGTACTATATATTTAGTGAAGGGATTCAGAGGTTGAAGAGGGTTGGAATAGTTTTAAAAATGCAGTATTAGAATGTGGGCAGAAGTTTGTGGTTATAGGAGGGTGGGGGCAGGAGGAAAGAGGAGTGATTGGTGGAATGATGAAGTAAAGGGTGTGATAAAAGAGAAAAAGGTAGCTTATGAGAGGTTTTTACAAAGCAGAAGTGTTATAAGAAGAGCAGAGTATATGGAGAGTAAAAGAAAGGTAAAGAGAGTGGTGAGAGAGTGCAAAAGGAGAGCAGATGATAGAGTGGGAGAGGCACTGTCAAGAAATTTTAATGAAAATAAGAAAAAATTTTGGAGCGAGTTAAACAAGTTTAGAAAGCCTACGGAACGTATGGATTTGTCGGTTAAAAACGGAGTAGGGGAGTTAATAGATGGGGAGATGGAGGTATTAGGTAGATGGCGAGAATATTTTGAGGAACTTTTAAATGTTAAGGAAGAAAGAGAGGCAATAATTTCATGCACTGGTCAGGGAGGTATACCATCTTTTAGGAGTGAAGAAGAGCAGAATGTAAGTGTGGGGGAGGTACGTGAGGCATTACGTAGAATGAAAGGGGGTAAAGCAGCTGGAACTGATGGGATCATGACAGAAATGTTAAAAGCAGGGGGGGATATAGTGTTGGAGTGGTTGGTACTTTTGTTTAATAAATGTATGAAAGAGGGGAAGGTACCTAGGGATTGGCGGAGAGCATGTATAGTCCCTTTATATAAAGGGAAAGGGGACAAAAGAGACTGTAAAAATTATAGAGGAATAAGTTTACTGAGTATACCAGGAAAAGTGTACGGTAGGGTTATAATTGAAAGACTTAGAGGTAAGACAGAATGTAGGATTGCGGATGAGCAAGGAGGTTTCAGAGTGGGTAGGGGATGTGTAGATCAAGCATTTACATTGAAGCATATATGTGAACAGTACTTAGATAAAGGTAGGGAAGTTTTTATTGCATTTATGGATTTAGAAAAGGCATATGATAGAGTGGATAGAGTAGCAATGTGGCAGATGTTGCAAGTATATGGAATAGGTGGTAAGCTATTAAATGCTGTAAAGAGTTTTTATGAGGATAGTGAGGCTCAGGTTAGGGTGTGTAGAAGAGAGAGAGACTACTTCCCGGTAAAAGTAGGTCTTAGACAGGGATGTGTAATGTCACTATGGTTGTTTAATATATTTATAGATGGGGTTGTCAAGGAAGTAAATGCTAGGGTGTTCGGGAGAGGGGTGGGATTAAATTTTGGGGAATCAAATTCAAAATGGGAATTGACACAGTTACTTTTTGCTGATGATACTGTGCTTATGGGAGATTCTAAAGAAAAATTGCAAAGGTTAGTGGATGAGTTTGGGAATGTTTGTAGAGATAGAAAGTTGAAAGCGAACATAGAAAAGAGTAAGGTGATGAGGGTATCAAATGATTTAGGTAAAGAAAAATTGGATATCAAATTGGGGAGGAGTATGGAAGAAGTGAATGTTTTCAGATACTTGGGAGTTGACGTGTCGGCAGATGGATTTATGAAGGATGAGGTTAATCATAGAATTGATGAGGGAAAAAAGGTGAGTGGTGCGTTGAGGTATATGTGGAGTCAAAAAAACGTTATCTATGGAGGCAAAGAAGGGAGTGTATGAAAGTATAGTAGTACCAACACTCTTATATGGGTGTGAAGCTTGGGTGGTAAATGCAGCAGCGAGGAGACGGTTGGAGGCAGTGGAGATGTCCTGTTTAAGGGCAATGTGTGGTGTAAATATTATGCAGAAAATTCGGAGTGTGGAAATTAGGAAAAGGTGTGGAGTTAATAAAAGTATTAGTCAGAGGGCAGAAGAGGGGTTGTTGAGGTGGTTTGGTCGTTTAGAGAGAATGGATCGAAGTAGAATGACATGGAAAGCATATAAATCTATAGGGGAAGGAAGGCGGGGTAGGGGTCGTCCTCGAAAGGGTTGGAGAGAGGGGGTAAAGGAGGTTTTGTGGGCAAGGGGCTTGGACTTCCAGCAAGCGTGCGTGAGCGTGTTAGATAGGAGTGAATGGAGACGAATGGTACTTGGGACCTGATGATCTGTTGGAGTGTGAGCAGGGTAATATTTAGTGAAGGGATTCAGGGAAACTGGTTATTTTCATATAGTCGGACTTGAGTCCTGGAAATGGGAAGTACAATGCCTGCACTTTAAAGGAGGGGGTTTGGGATATTGGCAGTTTGGAGGGATATGTTGTGTATCTTTATATGTGTATGCTTCTAAACTGTTGTATTCTGAGCACCTCTGCAAAAACAGTGATAATGTGTGAGTGTGGTGAAAGTGTTGAATGATGATGAAAGTATTTTCTTTTTGGGGATTTTCTTTCTTTTTTGGGTCACCCTGCCTCGGTGGGAGACTGCCGACTTGTTGAAAAAAAAAAATTCAGGGAAACCGGTTATTTTTATATAGCCGGACTTGAGTCCTGGAAATGGGAAGTACAATGCCTGCACTTTAACCCTTTGACTGTCACGGCCGTATATATACATCTTACGAGCTACCGTGTTTGACGTATATACAGTATACTCATTAATTCTAGCGGCTTCAAATCAAG